AATAAGCGTTTTCCAGTTTTACTCTCAGAAAAGTTGACGAGAGTGGATCTAGCTGATTCAACCTAAAAAAATTATAAAAATTGTCAGTCGATTTTTAATCGTTAGCATAATGAGGATATGGTCGTGCTGGTTGCACGCGAGCATGCATTGGTGCAACTTCAGCTAGAAGTTTCGATAAAGAAGAAGCAAGGCTAAATGCCTAAATATAATAACTTTTGTCCATTGCTTATATCTTCTTACGCAAATATTCCTTAATATTCTAATAATTTTTTTTACATTTATTTATAACAATAAATAGTAAATTGATTTTAGACTAACTTACAATAAAAAAAAACGCAAACGTTAAACTTATTACATTAATATATAAGTTTTATAATGTAAAAAACATATATATTTATTTAGACTATTTAATGCATTTAAACCTTTAATTTCTATTAAAAAATTAATTTTTTTTCTATACGACTAAAACTGAATATGTATTTTTATTTATTTTATCATGCACTACATTATAAAAATTACTAAAGTATACACAATAATCTTAATATTAAATAAATAAAATTATGGAAAAATTTTCCAGATTAAATTTTCCACAATATGTAAGACATCATTTAGTTAGCTTTCCCTTTGAATAATACCTTTAAAGTCCAGGTATTTCCTGGACTAAATAATATCGATATGTAGGAGTGCAACATCTGCATCCTTGTATCCCTCTCTATATCAAGAATTTAAAAAAAGAACAAGATTAAGTTAAACAATTGTAAAACATTTTTAATAAATTACATTTTCGAAACGGTTGACAATAAAAATCCACGATAATCCTTTGAATGTCTTGTGAAATATAGATCGCTGTGTAAAATTCACATCACAAACATTCCAACGCGAGTCGATATTTGCGAGGATATAAGATAAAATTGTTCTGCATTCCATATTATAATTCGTTTGCAAATCACAATATATCATGCTCTATCAAATCTTTTGAACACAGTTCTGACTGAATATTCTCTTGGGGAATTCAAGTGTGCTATAAATTTATTGTAGACAATAAATCAATTGCATGCATATCGTTTCTTTAAAATTTCTAAAAAATTGTTAGATTTAAAAATTCTTTATCACAATCGTGAATAAAACTTTGCTCTTTGTTGCTATGTTCGCGGCATGAGCAAATTTTATTCGTTATGATAAGCTCAAAGACTTCTAAATTCTTAGCCTGCAAAGTGCATGTTGGTGAATTGTCTAATATTCGATCAATTTGATCGACCCCACATGGGTGAACTTTTTAATTCTTGCTCTTCAACAAAATTTCTTCAAAAAAATGGCTAAAAATATATAAACATATATAACAATTTTTTATATAATCGCCTGCTAAAACATTAATTTTACTTTGTACTTTTTTTGTAATGATGCTTAATCTTCAATATATACAATAGTTTCACACAGCAATCCGTTGATCCTGAAACATTGATAAATTTAATAAGTGAAGGAAAATATACATTTTAAAAAAATCACGATTATCATAACGATCATTTAAATATGAATTCATATGTATAAAATATAGAAAAAAATTCTTTTGCATAAAAAATATTCTCAAATTTATATAATTTTTTTTAATTATTCTAAAAAAATTTACTCCAAGATTTATCCACGCAGAAATTTAATACTTTTAGTAAAAAATACTACATACTTACAAATGTAAAGCTACTATGCTTACCTATATGAGGTAAAAATGGCGATTTAATAAAAAAATATATCATTCGCAAATTGCAAATATGTTTTGTGATCAATATAAGTATGTTAAACTCCTTAAAATAATTCAAAGTGTTAGTATTTATTAAATACTATTTATTAAATAGATTCAAGTATATGATTGCTTATTTATTTCTTTATACAAAATAATACTTTCAGTATTTTTATATGTATAATTAATACAATTAACTGTGGTTTATTTTTAAGACAGTAACTTATTTAAATTATAATTGAAGACAACACAAATACTCTGTATTTTATAATATTTCAAATGTAATAAACATAAATTTTAATTTTACTTGTACATTTATTAAATCGTTGTGTGTACTTGTCATATTTTTTATCAAATCTATAATTTAATAATATTCACATGAAACAAATTGTCGATAAATATTTTTAATGTTCACTGTTTTGTAAAATTTTTACTTTGCACAATATGTGAAAGTTAATGTAGTGATTTCTTTCTAATGTAACACTTCAATTAATGTATACAAAAACATAAAACAAAATATTTTCTGAAAGAGAATAATCGTATAAAGAATAAATATATTTTTTATATATACGCATAAATATATCAGCCTTTTTTTTCTTAAAAAGGACAAAAGTATCATCATGTAAATAAGCTTTGCTTGTACATAAGATACATTCAAAAACTTATATATATATAAATCCTATATTCCAATATGACTTATGTGTTTTATATGTTTCTTAACAACTCCACATTAAAATACGACTTTACAGTCCTTTGTTGATGATGATCAATCATCAGTCGATCGCGCATCCGATACAAAATTCTTATCAATGTGATCACTTTGAATCTTTTCAAGATAATTCCTAGCAAGCTCGGCTATCTGCGGATGCGACGATGACAACGGCGGTAGCGGTCCAGGATGATGCCTTCTATGCCTCAACAGACTGGAGCGTTGCGTGAAGTCCTTCTCGCAGACGTCGCATTTGTACGGCCGTATGCTGGCATGGGTGAGCACATGTTGGTAAAAATTGCTAACGGACAAGAACGATTTCTGGCACAGGATACAAGTGGAGACGTTCCCCTGGCCGTGCTTGAAACGTTTGTGACTCGCGAGCTCGCGAGTGCCACTATACTCCTTGCCGCAAATCTCGCATTTGAAGCCTTTCCTGTGCTGCATCAGATGATTGTCCAGTCTGCTTCTGTGGTGGAACTTCTTGCGGCACAAGTGACACGAATATTCATACTTGATCTCGCGATTTCGCTTCTGATGACGCCACTCGTGGTTTTTGACGTCCTTGACCTTCTTGCCGCAGAAGCGGCAAACTTGCAGGTCCGTCACGTGGGTTCTCTTCATATGATGGGTCAGATCGATCTTCAGCTTGTAACTACGACCACAATGTTCGCAAACGTATCTCGATTCGTAATCGCTGTGGGTGCGAATGCAATGTCTTCTCAGTCCCTCGTCACTTTTGTATTTCACATTACAGATCTCGCACTCGAAGAAATAGTCCGGCAGGTGTATTCTTTTGTGCGCCGCCAGCGCCAGTGGCGTGTAACAAGTTCTTTTACACTTGTCGCATTGATATGGTTTACGATGTACATATTTGACATGTCGCTCAACTTCATTTGCATTGTCGAATTGCTTCTCGCAAAATGGACATGTATTTCTTATATTTTCCATGACTTCGTCCACTTCAGCGATTTCTTCGGTGGTTTCTTCGCGTGAACTCGGGGAACTGGAGACTTGCGGCAATTTCACGTTCGACAAAGATCGAACGTCCTTAATTGTAATATTGGTGCCCTGGGCAGTTTCTACGGGCGAATCTAATTGCAAACCTACAATCGATTTATATCGATTTACACTTCGACACTGTATTGTAACGGGTTTAAGTTTTCCACTTGCAGACTTAGGTTCATTTTGAGATTTCCACGAGCCCAACACAATGGAGACAAAGCGGACAGGTCCATTTTCGTATTGCCTTCCTGTCTGCCTGATGATAGGCTTTTCCCTGAAACAGGGATAAATCGTGTCAGCGTATAAAGTATCAATACTGCGTTTTAATCATATATTCAAATAACAGGTAGCCAAGTAATTGTGATACAAGAGAAACGTTTTCTTAGCCACTGCATATAAAGATAAAGCTCACTGTTGTTATATTGTAGCTGTCACCGTCATCAATTACTAGAAAATTTTCAAACAAATAATATTAGAAAATTATGCAATTTTCACTATCAGTATTTGTTACATACAATTTTTACGCACTTGTCCATTATATCCAGAGAGATGAGTAATCAGTCTGAAATAAATGTTTGTTTAATATTATTTCAGTAATATAAAATCTGTCGCACAGAAATATAAAAATGTAAACTTAATTAAAAAATTGTAAAAAAATGTAAAACATTTCTTGTACAAAATAAACAATTACGCAATAAGAATATCATGCATAAATTTTATATAAGATGCGCACATGGAAAAAAATGATATTGTATTAATAGCATTGGTCTTTCAATATGTCATATTCTTGTTTTAATAAAACAAGTATTTATTTTATTGATACTACCATTAAATTAGCAAGATTATTTCCAAGATGCTATTTCTGATGCTGTTAATACATCTTTTTTTCGTGCACAATATTAATGTGCTCGTAATATTAATTTACTTAATAAATATATAAAAAATTTTGTAAAATACAATATTTTTTATTTATTAGTATTTAGTTACAAACGATGATCCAAATGATATAATCCGGAATTATGTTTATGTATATCTTATTACTAATCAAGCATTATTATCACATGTATACTTCCAGGTAAATATTTGGCCATATTATACTTATGCATTGTATTCATACGAAGAAGAAATACGTTTACATACAGAATATATATTTCAGATAATTTAAATAATTGGAAGTAATAGTGCAAAATAAATCAGTCTTTTTTAGGTTTATATACTATCTATAAAAATTCATCAAATAATATATCAGAATTATCTACCATTTTGTACATATTTTTTGCTTGATTTTAAGTTAATTTTTAATATCTACATAAATATATATATATATATATATATATATACATAAAATAATAGGACATATCTCAAAAATGAGATATTTTTCACATTCAACAAAAAATAAAATTATACTAAAAAAAAACTAAATGCCCTTGTTACATACAAAAAAATTGGCAAAAAATGTTTACTTAATTATGATGAATTATGATGTAAAAAATATTATATTATTGCAAGATATAAAAATATAAAACAAATAAATTAATACATTCACAGTATTTTTATATTCTTGCAAAATATCAGTAAACGTATTTTTGAGAAATGTATTTTTGAAAATTGTTATAAATTTGCAAATCACGGATACCTTTCGTACAGGTAACAATGTATTAATGCATCTTCTAAAGATCATCATTCATTCATTATAATTCATTATAACTTTAAAAGCATCATTATAATTTTAAAAGTTTCTGCAAAACATTTTTAGCTAAACCAGCGATGGGAATCTGTGATGTGTAGGGCGGAAGAGGACCGGGATGATTTTTTCGATGTCGAAAAAGACTGGATCGTTGAGTAAAGTCTTCGCCGCAAATATCGCAGTTATACGGCCTGATACCGGCATGGGTAAGAACATGCTGATAGAACTTGTTGCCCCTCGACACGAATACTTTCTTGCAAATCGGACAAGTTGTACCCGGTTTGTGTACCCGGTTCTTATGATACTCCAACTGTCTCGACGACGTGACAACAACATTACACTCAGTACATTTGTAACCCTGTTTGTGCAACAACAAATGATTGTCGAGACGAGTCTGATTCTGGAATTTCTTGATACACAGATGGCACGAGAATTTTAAGTTGGCCATTTCGGCTCGCTTCTTATGCTTCCACTCGTGGCTGTGGAGATCCGTCACGGATTTTCCGCAGTAACGACATATATGAACGTCGGTGTTGTGCTTCCTCTTGATGTGCACAAGAAGATCCACTTTCACCTTGAAGGACTGACCGCAGGAGTCGCAAATAAATTGAGCAGCAGCGTCACTATGCGCTCGCACATGATGCTGCTTCAACGTTATCTTACGTTTATACTTCAAGTGACATATATCGCACTCGAAGAAGTAATCATCGCTATGGCTCTTACGATGCTTTTCCAAGTTTTGCTTGGTATGGCAAGACGCACGGCATTTATCACATTTATACGCCCTTTTCTGATGGCTCGCTACAATATGTCTCTTCAGATGCTTCTCATGTTCGAAGTGCTTCAAGCAAAACGGACATGCGGTCCGCACTTCGTCCAACACTTGATCCACATCTTTTTTTTCTTCGTTTTGTGAGGTATCTTCGGGTGACGACATTTCTACAAATTTAATCTCTTCTTCATTCAATAATTCTTCGTCCGCTTCTTTCTCTATATGAAGCTCCTCTCTGCTCTTTTTCTTCGTTCGTTCTCGCAGTCTTTTCTTTCTGTCCCCCTTTGCTGGGCTATGGCGTTTTCTCACACTTTTTTTAGAAGTAGTCTCTACCACGCCATCATGCATTACAATCACTTTCCGATATATATCACCATCCCACACTGTGATCCACCGTCCCCTGAAACATCCATTAATTTCGATCAGTACAAACACGAAACATGCAGTGTTTACCACAATTGTGTAAAAATCAAGAATCTTCAATAATCAGAAGTATTTAATAAAATGCTAAAAACGTTTGGCTAATATGTTCGATATTATTGGTATTGTACAATTTTTTCAAAGATTAAGCGATTAACTATTTAAATGTGTTAGGATAGAAACAAAATTATAAGCGTCGTTTAACTTACAACATTTCTTAAGTATTTACATATAATTTTTTTTTCTTTAATACCGACTAGATCTACACATTCAAAATAATTATTTGATCAATCATTCATTTTATCAGTCATTCCAACGAATTCGTAAATATATCGTACCCAGCGACTAGTTTATCTTTGGGATCAATTCGAGTTGACTGAGCAGCAACGGTGCCGGCGGATAACGGATGTCAGGATGTCGCTTGCGACGGTGACCCATCATACTGCTACGTTGCGTGAAAGTTTGTCGGCAGACATCGCACTGGTGCGGCTTCTCGCCCGTGTGAGTGAGCTTGTGCACCCTGAGTGCCGCGGACCTCGAGAAATTTTTCGAACACAACTTGCACTCGTAGGGCCGTTCGCCGGTGTGCGTACGTTCGTGTATCCTCAGCGTGTATATCGACGCGAATTTCTTGCCGCACTGGGCGCACAGGAACGTCTGCGTGTGCAGGCTCGTGTGATTGCGAAGGCTGAGCTCCGTGGCGAAGTTCTTGTTACAAAAGTCACACCGGTGTGACTTCTTCGGCGCCCCGGACTTCTGTACCCCGTGTATCACGCGCTTGTGCGCGGCCAGGTACGACCTCTGCAGATAAGCGTTGCCGCAGTAGTCGCAAACGAAGTTCTTGGTACCCAGGTGCCTCGCCTTGTGATCCTCGAGATCGTAATTCGACATGAATCCCTTGCCGCACTGCTCGCAACGGTGTCGGAAGTCGCGCTTGTGCACCCGTCGAATGTGAGTCCTCAGCGAAACTCTGTTCCTCGAGATCAAGCCACACAGGTCGCAGGTATACGTGACGTCGCTGTGGATCTGCATGTGATTGTTTATCTCCGACATGCGTTTGAAGGTTTTCTCGCAAACCGTGCACTTGAACGGACGCGCGTCACTGTGCCTCACCATATGTTGCTTGTACCTCCCGTGCAGAGGGAAAATTGCACTGCATATGGAACATTCGTACCTCGCACGCTCGCTCCTCTTTTCTTTTCCTCTTTCGACGTTAATCAAAGCACTTGTGACGTTCTCGCGTGCCTTCTTCTCTTCGATCGTCGAATTCGATTCTACCTCTGGTTGCGTACGATTGTGCACCTCGGATTCTTCTTTGCTAGGTGCAGTCTTGACACGTTGCCCTATCAACTCTCCGACTTCGAGGATTCTGTAAGCAACAATAGTAATTTTTCAGCATTCACATTTAAACGCAATAGCATCGCCAAGACATCTCATTGATACTTCCTCTTGATCATCCGAAGTTTCTTTACGAGGATACACGACCCAAGAACTAATCTGGCAGTTTTTACGGATGTTGGGGGAAAAATGACGCTCCCTCGCTTCGAGATCAAGGAACGAATTTTTAATCGACAAAGATAAGATAGTTTCGAAGACACAAACACCTTTTGATGTACGAGTTATTTTATTAAACGTATAATAACGAATATCAATGATGACGATAACATAATTTGTCGATGCATTTGTCCACATTCGTATGAGCAAGCCTGACGTCTCGCCTGTAAACAGAAACTCTAGAAAAGGAAGAGAGAAAAATAAGGAAAAGAAAACGAATCCGAAGTTCAACAACATTGGCATTGTTCGGCTTAAAAATATTACCCTTATCTACAATCTGAAAAAATAGAACAACAATATTCGTAACGGAACACTTTGAGCACGATAGTACAAACGTATAATCGTGTAATTCATGAAGAACCGAAACGGACAAATATCGCACTTAATCTTGTCTTTTGAGCGCCGCACAGTTTACGCAAACGTTACAACCAGTGTACAAAAGATATCGTAGAGATTTATCGAGAAGAATCGGGATCAAACGTCGCGAGTACGACACTCCGTCGACATCAACGTAGCGGTAGATTTATAATCTATAATAATTCAAGATTCCTCTCAGTTCCTGTCAGCTTCGCCGTTACGATACATAGGTAACACAACGCGTAAGCACGTACTATCGTATCGTTAAAAACGCAATCGTCATAGCTTAATCGTCGTGTAATCGTCAATAGGAATCGCGTCGTTAACAAGAAGTCTCAAGTAATTCACTGAACAAGTCGTTCATCATTAAAGAAGTTCTTAGACACACGTAGACTTCTGATGAGCCGTTAAGTTGCCCTGGCAGGAGAATCCACGATGGCATATCTGGCAGACGTAAGGTCGCTCCCCGGTGTGTCCGCGTTTGTGAATGGTCAGCGTTGACCTCTGCGAGAATGCTTTCGGGCATTGGTCGCACTTGTACGGCTTCTCCCCCGTATGCACTCGCCTGTGCATTCTCAGATTCTCGGAATCGGTGAAACCCTTTCCGCAGATGTCGCATACGTAGGGCTTTTCCCCGGTGTGGATCCGTCTGTGCTTCTTCAGGTGCTCGGCGCTACTGAGACTCTTTCCGCAGTAATCGCAGAGGTACAGCTTCGTCGGATTGTGGCTCTCCTTGTGCCGGAAAAGTGATCTCTTCGTGGCGAGAACGCGACCGCAAATGTCGCAGGCGGTGCTGGTCACCTTGTTGGCCTTCAGTTCGGGATGCGTGCGTCTGCAGTGCGCGGAGAGCTGTCGCCTCAGGTAGAAGGCGTTGTTGCAGAGCTGACAGACGAACGGCTTCTCGCCCGAGTGAATATTATAGTGCTCCTGAAGATCGAGCTTCTTCCGGAAGCGCTTGTCACACTCATTGCACTTGAACGGCAAATCCGCTTTGTCCATGTGTCGCGTCATGTGGATGCTCAGAGCCGCCAGAACGGTGGTTTCGTAATCGCACTCCTTGCACATGTAACTCGGCAGAAAATGCGTCTTCTCGTGCCTCGTCAGATCGCGAAACAATCGAAATTTCTTGGGGCAATGCTTGCAAGGGAGATCGCCCACTGTGTGGCGCAACAAATGCTTCTGATAGTTGCTCTTGTGCCGAAAAACCTTGTTACAGGTCTTACAGAGAAACTCCAGCTCGGGCTTCTCTTTCTTCACCTTCTTCAATGATGCGATACGACCGCTCACTGTCGAAGAGTTCGTTTTGCGACCGCTTTTACGTACCGAATGCGTCTTCATGTGCTTGCGAAGGCTGATACCGGTTCTGAAGACCCGGCCGCACTGGGCGCACGTGTTCTTCCGCTTACCTTTGTGCTCGATCTCATGATTGTCCAACAAGGACTGCGAGGCAAAGAAGACGCCGCAGAGTTTACAGTGATACGCCAAAGGGAGATCTTCCTCGTCATCCTCAACGTTTACTTCCTGCTTTATGACGTCTTGCTCGGGATTCGTTGAAATTGCCGTCTCGTCAGTCGCGTCCATCGATTCCGGGCACTTCGACGGGGACTTCGCAGGTTCGCCGTTCTTCTTCACCAGATCAAGTTTAGAGAACATCGGGTAATAGTCTTCAGAAAACGGTAGCTGGTTGTATCTGAAATGGAAAAATTCAGGGGGATATCAGTATCGAATATCCTTGTTATATCGCAACGATCTTTCATTGTCTGCTCTCGTTGTCTAGCAATTTATTTCTACTCCTGTAAGATTGCTCAACTGGCGCAAATTTGCAACTTTATCAATTGTAAATTAGATAACTTGATTAAAGAATAATTAGAATAGTCTTATCATTGTATCTATATATAACAACAGTCTTCAAGTAGAGAAATATAAAAAGATGAAGAAAACTTGAAATATAAAAAAAGTGACATGATGAAATAGCTTTTGATAGTCATAATTCTGAGTAGCACTTTTATTTATTATAATAATACATAATGCAGGAATATATCTAACTGATATAAGAAAATTTTAATTACAGCTTTTACTGCAATCTGCGTATAAAATAAATGATTTTACATATATCTTTCCTGACATCTTTCTTATTCTATCGGCTACAATTATCAATTTGTTTAATCATTTTTTTTATAAATATATTAACTTCTTAATAATTCACTTTGTAATCGTATCAAACTTATTTACTTTATATCATCAAAGAGAAACTGAAACGTCGTCAGAATCACAAATTTTTGTAATACATTTAACGTAAAAATTCAAATCATTTATCTACATTGTGGCATTTTTATTAAAAATAAAAATAAAAATAGGAGATCAACATTTCTATGTTTCTATAAAAAAATAAAAATTAAATTGTAAATACAAAAAATGTTTAGCTATGAACAGCATTATGATTTTCACAGAAAATATTAATTAAAGTCAAAATACTTAATCGTATAACATTGCGGATAAGTATCACCAAAATACAAAATGGCAAAATTCGACAAATGTCTATTAATATCGTTCCATCTTTATTTCGTTTAGATCCACGTAAGACTGATAATATCACTAAAATGTCTTGAACACGAGATGCAATTGACAGTGTAATGGAAATGAATATCCAAATCGCATAACTATGTGGAGGACATCACGACAACATGTTAACCAACATGTGCATTTTTATTATGAGCGTTAAGCAATCCTCTAGACACAAATGACTTGCTGCAATAGCCACACTGATATGGCCTCTGACCGGTGTGATATCGTTTATGTATAACGAGAGTCGAGTGTTGGGTGAAAGACTTTCCGCAGGTGTCGCACGCGTACGGCTTCTCGCCGGTGTGGGTCCTCTTGTGCACGACCAATGTCGTTCTCTTGTGAAAAGCCTTGCCACAAACGTCGCAGACCAGGGACTTCTCCCCGCCGTGAAGACGCAGATGGTCCTGGAGCGATCCCTTAGACGAGACGGATTTGCCGCACAAGTGGCAGTCGTACTTGTTCTCGCCGGTGTGCGACTTGACATGGACCACCAGTGAGTTCTTGTAGGCGAATGTCTTGCCGCAGAACTCACACTGGTGCTTCACTGGCCTGAAGTTCGGATCGTGAATCTTCAAGTGACGCATCAGGGTGTGATTGTTGGGGAACGACTTGTCGCAGGCGGTGCACACGTGCTCTTTGGCGCCGTGCTTCACGTTCATGTGCCCGTGGAGTTCGGCGTTCGTGAAGAAGCCCTTGTTGCAGATATCGCAATGCTTCGTGTACTTTTCGAAGTGACGCCTGTGGTGAGTGGCCAGTTGAGAGGCTTGCACAAACGCGCGACCGCACACGTCGCAAACAAAATTTTTCTCGTGAGTGTGGATTCGCTTGTGTACCGCTAAGGTATTGGTTCTTTTGAACGACTTGCCGCAGACGTCGCACTGATAGGGTCGAGCATCGCTATGTGCCACTAAATGACCTTCAAACAAGTTCTTTGACCTAAAAAGCT